GGCGCGTGTGCGTGCATGCCCAAGATTCTGAGAGGAGAATGGAGGAGAAGGGTTTGCAGTGTAGGCATCTCCCCTGGGGGTGATTTCTCGCTTTCTGTCTCTCTGTCTCTCTCTGTCTTTCTGGTGAGCACATGCTCCCTATAGCAAAAACCTCTCAAAAAAAAAAAAATACTGCTCATGGGATGGACCTCTAGTTCTTTGGGACATAGAAGTCACTTTTGACAGCTGACATCTGAGAGCAACCAGCCAAGTTACACAGTAAGTGTAGCTTCTGCCCATATACAAGATGTCACTGAAATCTGCTTTAAGACAATGGAATGCCTGCACCTCCCATCGGTTAAAGTCTCTGGCATTATTACAAAACAATTCATTCAATGACTTCCTTCTAAAGTCACAGCCCTGATTGGTAGTCTAATCGCATTGTTTTTGCATGTCCTTTCTCTTTTTATTTATTTTTTCTCCAGTAGAGTATTTCCTTAACCTTGAAACAAAAGAAAAATAGCAAAATAAATAAATAAAGTCAAACTTCAATCTATTCAGGGTAGAAGCTATTCCAAGTGTTGGAAATAAGGCTTTATTCCCCAAACACAACACTTGCTATGGTTCCTAGACACTTTGTCTGTAACCCCAGTAATATAAAATTACAGATGTCAGAGCACGAAGAAAACGTAAGGGAACAGCGATGTTTTTTTTTTTTTTTGGAGAGATTTTCACTATAGGGCGCATGCACTCACCAGACAGACAGAGAGAGACATTAGAGACAGAAAGCGAGAAATCACCCCCCAGGGGGGATGGTCACGCCACAATCCCTTCTCCTCCATTCTCCTCTCAGGATCTTGGGCACGCACGCACATGCGCCAGGTGTGAGTTTTAAGCCACCGGGTCCAGGACGCGAACCACGGTCGACTACGTGGGAGTCCAGCAACATAGCCATTACGCTAACTGTTGGTTCCCTTATGATGATTATTGAAAAGAAATCACAAAGTGTTCTCAGCTGGACTGGGCCTTTCCCTTGGAGTTCCTCTATCTTTATTTCTACTCTTTTTTTGAGAGAGAGATTTTTGGTTGGTATAGGGCACATGCACTTTCTGAATAGACAGAGAGAAAGAAAGCGAGAAATCACACCCCTGGGGGGACGGCCACACTGTAGTCCCTTCTCCTCCATTCTCCTCTCAGGATTCTGGGCATACGCACACAGGTGCCTGGCATGAGTTTCAAGCCACCAAAGCTGGGACTCAAACCACAGTCAATGACGTGGGAATCCAGTGCCTTAACCACTATGCCACTTGCTGGCTCTTTGTTTATATATTTTTAATTTTAGCAGAGGGCGCAAGCATTTGCCAGAAAGAGAGAGAGGGAGAAGTACCCCCTATGAGGAATGGTTCCGCTGCGGGCTCCTCTTCATTTCTCCACCCTGTTGGGGTTTGGACACACATGCACATGTGCCCAGAGTTTTTCTCAAGCTGACATTTGACTCACCACTTGGCAACATGGGATCCAGCTTAACCCCCAGACCATGGGCCATCTCCAACCTTGTCTCTATCCTGATAATCATGTTTGACTAGGTAGGTTGTGGAAAGAAGTCAGATTTTCTTTGCTCTGTCGTGGAATCTACAATATATTTCAAAATGATTGAGTTTTAGGTCAAATAGGCAGAGTGGTGGTTTATGTGGCTGAATCCCATATGGCCAACTGTGCTTTGTGCCCTGGAAGTGGCAGCTTCAAAAACATGCCGGGTAGGGAACCAGCAGTTAGCGTAATGGCTATGTCGCTGGACTCCCACGTAGTCGACCGCAGTTCGTGTCCCGGACCCGGTGGCTTAAAAGTCACGCCGGGCGCATGTGCGTGCGTGCCCAAGATCCCGAGAGGAGAATGGAGGAGAAGGGATTGCGGCGTGACCATCCCCCCTGGGGGGGTGATTTCTCGCTTTCTGTCTCTATGTCTCTCTCTGTCTGTCTGGCGAGCGCACGCGCCCTACAGTGAAAATCTCTCCAAAAAAACAAAAAAACATGCCGGGTACATGTGCATGTGTGACCCAAATCCCAGGAGGACAGTTGAGGAGAAGGTCATCTCCCCCAAGGGAGTATTTCTCTCCCTCTCTCTCTCTGGCTAGTGCATGCTCCCTGTAGCAAATTTAAAACATATATATGTGTGTGTGTGTGTATATATATATGTGTGTGTGTGTGTGTGTGTGTGTATATATATCTATATATCTATATGTGTGTGTGTGTGTATATATATATGTGTGTGTGTGTGTGTGTGTGTGTATATATATGTAAACATATATATGTGTGTGTGTGTGTGTGTGTGTGTATATATATATATATGTGTGTGTGTGTGTATATATATATGTAAACATACATATGTGTGTGTGTGTGTGTATATATATATATGTGTGTGTGTGTGTATGTAAGCATATATATGTGTGTGTGTGTGTGTATATGTAAAATTGAATTTACATGTAATAGAAGTTATCCAGAAATTTCTTTCTCCTGCCTTTTTTTCCCCACGAAGATAGTTCTAAAGTATCTGACCTTTTGTTTGTTGCCCGCCCCCACAAGTGCCTCTTGGTGAGATTGTACGTTAAATTATTATCAACAAATTATAACGAATTAAAAGGCTCTGAAATGTGTAGCCTATGACAAAAACGTAGAACAGAAAGCTCCCCATTTGGGAAACAATGGAATGGCCCCTTTGAGTCCATTATTAGCTACTGTTTTGTAAAACTGGTTTGCGAGGATGTCTATTTCTCGGGAGAACAAGCTTATATTTTTAATGGTTAGAAAAGCAACAGAGGAAGAAAGAAAAGCAGCCGATGAGAATGAGCTGGGATGGGAATGAGGGGCACTGGAGGACTCTGAAGCACTTTCCAAACAGTGATCATTTGGCTCTGAATCGGAAGGGACTTCGGTTGTAGAATGGCTCTTTCTTCTTCCTGAGCCAGGAGCGAGCCAGCGCCCCTGGCGTTCTTAACCCACTGGTGAAAGGGTGGGAACCTGCCAAGTCAGCTTTCTTACACAGGCCAGAGTGGCCACAGAGGGCTGCTGTCCTGCTGTTACTTGCTGTCGTGCTAGGGTGACACCGTAATGCTGCCTGCTGCTCTGCAGGTCAGCACACAGAGGGTGGGCAGGTTGTCAGTGCAGCAGTGTGCTCAGCATCCTGTCCCCTGATTTGGAGGCCTCCCAAAGAGTAAAACAGGGACAGCTGAAAACTCACCCACTTTCCTTTCCCTTCCTTCTGAGCACACCTTCCTCTGGCCTTTTTCGCAGGATGCTCCCAGGAGAGTCCATGTCTCTTCCATGCGTTCAGCCATCTCCTTTCCTTTGCTGATCTGAGGCCAAGAAATAGCAGTTAGTAGGATTCTCTCTCTCTCTCTCTCTTTCTCTCCCTCTCTCATGTTTACCATAGGGTACATCTGCTTTCCAGAGAGAGAAGAAAAGTGAGAAGTCACTCCCCAGGGGGATGGCCATGCCCCAATCCCTTCTTCTCCATTCTCCAGTTTTGGGATTTGGGGCACACATACACATGCACCTGGTGTGTTTTTCAAGCCACTGGATCCAGCCCTTGAACCACAGAGTTGGCCATATGGGGTCCAGTGCCTTAACCACCACACCACCTGCTGGCCCAGTGGGATGCCCTTTTGATTACCTGGTTGCTAGAGATTGGAACGGGAACAGGTAGGGGTAAGAAGAACATACCATGCTTTGGCTGAAGGCGATTTTCCTGTGTGGCAGTTTGACGGGTAACAAGTGCATCCTGCCTTTAAGGTTGCCCCAGGAGGCTGAAATTTGCCAAAGAGGTTGCCAGGTACTACACTCATCTGGAAACTTGTCGCTGCCACCAGTGGGTTGGGGAGGTTTACGTTTTCACCTGAGCGAAACTGTGAAGACTGTGTTATCTGGGCCCTCAGCCTTGTGTGTTCTGTGCCTTGCATAGGTTGCAAAATGAAACAGCAGCTAATGAAGTCCTTGAAAGCATCCAAAACTACTTCAAGTCCCAGCCCTTTGATTTTAGGGTTGCTCAAATCATTTCTGGGCAAGAGGAAGGGGTGTATGGATGGATTACAGCCAACTATTTAATGGGAAATTTCCTGGAGGTGTGTGGAAACAAATGCATGGTTTTTCATCTTGCTGTTTATCCCATCCCTGGGGGAGTTAGCTTCAATAGGGTACATGCCAACGGAGGCATCTGGCCTGCGTCACCCTATGACGTAGTGTGTTAGGGAAACACCCTGGAGACAACAGCTTAGAAAAGACACACGCAGCTGGAGAAAAATCATTGATCTTCAACACAATAAATGCACAGGGTGGTGGGGAAGATCTTCACTTAAATAGCTTGCAAGGAACTGAAGGGCGTAGCGTTTGATTTCCCACTGGATTATGGATCTTTGGAAGGGCAGTTGGAGAACGACCCTCCCACCAGGCTCCATCATGACCTGGAATTTACAGAGCCCTCAAGCAGTCTGTTTCCGAATCCCTGTAGAGGAAGAGGAGTCTTCGCTCCGTGTCCCCAGGTCTCCTTACAGTCCCACCCCTGCACCCCTGTTCCTTGGGTACAGAGGAAAGCCTACTGGAAAAGACAACCATCAGCTCACATGTTACAAACCGAGGGTACCCAGACCATATCTGGTCTAAGGCCTCCTTTGTTTCCCTTCAGATGTATTTTTAAACCTTAGATGAGTTGCTAACAGTTCCTAGTTGAGGTTTCACATACAAATCCACATTATCTAACTTCTTCTGACACTTCCCTCCCCCACAACACTAGAGTAACTGATCACAGTGGACTCGTAGTCCCGCCTGGGAACAGCCAACGGGTACAGAGTGTAACTGTGGACTCTCCGGTTTGGCGTAGTCCCCACCACTCCCTAATCTACCTCCCACATTCATTACTCATTCATTTCCCAGCTCGTGTAAGCCTTTGAATTCACTGCCCCTGAAATGAAAGGAGAGAAACAGCCCAGAATGCTCCCCCACGTCCTATTTCTTAGCCATGGGAGGTGGGTTTGGGGTGGAGCACCCTTGGCAAACCGATGGTGCCTCTGGCCTTTCGCTCACTTTCTTTTCCCGCTGTGCAGAAGAACCTGTGGCATATGTGGGTGCATCCACATGGAGTGGAAACCGTAGGTGCCCTGGATTTAGGCGGAGCCTCCACCCAAATATCCTTCGTGGCAGAAGGGGAGGTGGAGCCGAACAGCAGTGACAGCGTGCAGGTGTCCCTCTACGGCTACAAGTACTCACTGTACACACACAGCTACCAGTGCTACGGCCGGAACGAGGCTGAGAAGAGGTTTCTGGCAGTCCTCCTGCAGGTACCTGAGCAGGTGGGAGGTGGCACGGAGGGTGGCAGGTGTTCCCTTCAGGGTCTGAGCTAAGGGCTGGATGCCCTGCCCTCTGGAGTCTGCCTTCCCTTCTCCAACTGGAAGTTGGATGGAATTGACAGCACCTTCCGGTTTACTCCTAGAGTGTCTAAGCTTCTCTCTCTCTTCGTTGTGTTGACCACTTTCAGTGAATTTGAGTAAGAAGTCTAGGAAGTTCCGGAGCTCCAGATGTTTTCCAGATGATTCAAGACCTAGGATCCCTCTATGAACACAAGTTATTTTGAACCAATAGCTAAATGAGCCTGAGGGCTTTGAGACTCCCCTGGGTGTAGACAAAATAATAATTGCTTTTACAAGAAAAATGCTTGCTGAGAGGAGAGAGGGCAGAGTCCTCCCTCCCCGGGCCCAGCCTTCTTGTTAGTGAGCCTACAGTAAGCAAGCTTGAGGCCCCTTGTATGGTAGAACTTTGGCACCTCCATATCCCGGCATGTAGGTCTGAAATTCATGTGGTAAGTGTTCCAGGCTACTTCAGGCATCAGCTGAGAGGCTGTCACTGTCGTAAGTTCAACATTAGCATCAGCATGCAGTGTGTCAGCCAGGGCACTAGCTCTGTGGATGAGACCCCACACCTCAGACTCCAGTGTTGAGGGGCCATCAGTCTCAGCCATGGCTGGTGCTGAAGGGGGAAGAGACCTTGGCCAACTAGAGGGGGATGAAGACAACCAGAAGCCACAGACCGTCTTCTAATGGACTGCAGGGGCGGGAACACGGTCTAGGTCGGCCTGTGAACAGAGCGGACAGAGTAGCAGCAGCAGCAGCCAATCCCAGGCCTTAAACCTACCTCAGTCACCAAAGATACTTCCCAGTGACTAGTCTGCAGAAAACTCGGGCTGGCCCCCAACATGGTCTCCAGCAGAACTCTCTTCAGACCCCTCTGTGTTTAGCCAGTGCCTGTGGGAACTTGCCCTTCAGTTCTGGTCATTCCCCAGACCTTCTTCCTGAGCCTCAAAGGGAAGGCTGGAGGCCCAGACACGTACACATTTCCTGTCAGGAGACTTGTCAGCACCACCTGGGAAGGACAGAGCTCAACTTCAACTACTCTTCTGTAGCTCTACCTCAGGTTTTCTTTTCTTTCTTTTTTTATTTTATTTTTTATTTGTTTGTTTGTTTTTTGAGAGGTTTTTGTTACAGTGTGCATCCACTTGCCAGAAAGACAGAAAGAGAAAGGGAGACAGAAAGTGAGAAATCACCCCCCGGGGGGATGGCCACATCACAATCCCTTCTCCTCCATTCTCCTCTCGGGATCTTGGGCACGCACGCACACGCGCCTGGTGTGAGTTTAAGCTACCAGGTCTGGGACTCGAACTGCGGCCAACTACATGGGAGTTCAGCGTATTTTTTTGTTTGTTTAAAAGACATGTAATTCCTTTAGTTGAACAACCTCTACACAGGGAAATGTATGGTTTAAGACTTCTTGAGTAAAAAAGAGTTTAGGATCAAGAGGTTTTACGAACCTAATATGAATATTTTCTGGCAATTAACTGAGCCTTTTAAAAACCCTAGAGCAAATTGGAAGAAAAGTTGGTTCTGGAAAACCAGCAGTTAGATTTTGAAATCAAACTATTATTTGTCACGACTTGAAAAGAATTAGGCCAATTCTGTATCTCCTTCACCTTCAAACTCAGCCAAACCAACCCCACAGGGAACCCAATGGACCCTCCGGAACTGAGGCTCATCATTCAATATCACTCCTGCCCCCATTGCTCATTAAAGTAGTTCAACCAAAGTGCTTCTTTCTAGGAACTAAGGTCTGAAAAATCATCCTTTTTCCAACTCCTTTTTATTCCTAGTGGGGCATAATGTACCTTCCTCCAGCTCAGACCCTGGCAGGAGTAGAGGGTGGGAGCCCGGAGAAATCATCCTTTATCCAGGGTGAGTGAGGGTCAGAGAGACTAATCTCTTAAATCATTCTGGCCCTGAGGTGTGTGTGTGTGTGTGTGTGTGTGTGTGTGTATGCCTTCCTTAAAGTGTTTGCCAAAGAATGACTATCTGTGTATTAAGCAGTCCACAGTAGAGATAGGAAGACCCCATCTTTCTGAGGTTGCAGACAGGTTTGAGTACGTAGGTCTCCAAGGAGGAGCCCCCTGCCTCTCAGTCAGCTCACAGGGACAGGGACAGAGGTCTCCATTTGCCCCTGGATGTTTAAGAGGGTGGCTCTATTTTCAGATCCTTCTGACTCAACTGAGGGGATAAGCCCGTGGCCAGACCTGCCTGGCTAGTACTTTCATGGGTCAGATGTGTGTGACGAAGCCCTGACTTACAAGGTTCACCCGAGTTATTGCGTCATGAGCACTGGCTGAGTCAATTCCCCAGTTTGATCTCGCTTCCTCATCTGTGATATAAAGAGCTTCATGTTGTTGCAAACACGATGCCTTGATACAGCCTTTGGGTATCACTTTCTCTTTAACAAGTCTCCAGTTACAGCAGAGCTGGAGTGTCAACCTGACTGCACACTAACACGCAATCACTTCCCTTCCTTCCCTCGTTTCCTCTTTTTACAATATGGAGGTATGCACTCGCCCAAGAGAAAGGGGGATTCAGGGAGGCGGAAGCACCCTGAACAGGGTCTTCTCGTGCCACGATCCCCCCCTTCCCTGACCTCCAGCTCCTCAGGATTCTGAGCACCTGAGCATGCACTCCCAGCATGCTTTCAGGCCGACTCAGGGATCCAAACCTGTGGCCAGCCATATGGCTTCCAGTCTTGCAGGACACTTGCATTACTACTGTGTCATTATGGCTGGGCTGCTTTCCTTCCCTTTTTTTTTTCTTTTTTCTTTTTTTCTTTTGTTACAGGGCATGCGTACTCACTGGAGAGAGAGAGAAAGTGAGAAAGTACCCCCCAGAGCCGATGGTCACACTACAATCCCTTCTCCTTTAGCTTTTATTTAGCCTAACTATATATTATGGGCAATTTCCTATGTTGTTCATGTCTTTTGAAATCATTATTTTCATTTTTTTAAGGTTTTTGTTATAGAGCACGAGTGCTCTCAGGAGACAAATAGAGAAAGACAGTGAGAGGGAAAGTGAGAAATCTTCCCCCCAGGGGAAGTGGCCACACTGCAACCCCTTCTTCTTCATTCTCCTCCTGGGATTTTGGGCATACATCCACACATGCTCAGCATGAGGTTTTTGTTGTTGTTGCTGTTGTTTTTAAATTTTTTTATATTACATTTAATCACATATTACATATATCTTTACAGTGTATAACATTTCTTTTTCCAGGATTTGAACCATGGTTGACCATATGGGAATCCAGTGCCTTAAGCACTATACCATCCACTGGTCCTAGAAATCATTACTTTTGAGGGTGCATAAAATTCCAAGTACCATAATTTAAAGACAAAGATGTTACTATCCACATTATCATCATCAAATAACTTTTTTTCAAATTATTATTATTATAATTATTCTCATTTTTTTAAACATTCAATCACTATACTTCTCAGAACAGTCCAGTTGAAATACTATACACGTCATCATCAACAGGTAATAAACCATTTCTGTGTCCCACAAATTACATACCTCTCTATTTGTTCTCTTGCTATCCTTTGTATACTCTTCCCTTCTCCCCCCACCCCTATTACCCACTGTCTTCAGTGTCCATAACTATTCTCACTGCTTTTATGTTCTCCAATATTTCAATCTCTACTATAGAATACAGATAGTCAGTATATACTAAGTGGATGCATACAATATCTTTCTTTCATAGCCTGGATTCCTTCACTCAGCAATAAATCTTCCATATTTGACCACTTTCTATCAAATGCCAGGGTCTTGTTTTTTTTTATGGTTGAGTAGTATTCCATAGAGTATATGTGCCACATTTTTTTCAATCCACTCATCTGTTTGTGGACATTTGGGTTGGTTCCATGTCTTAGTGATCATGAATAATGCTGCAATAACATTGATGTGCAAGTGCTTTTCTGACTGAGCATTCTCCTGTCCTTTGGGTAGATACCCAGAAGTAGGATGGCTGGATCAAATGGTAGTTCTATTTATAAATCTTTGAGGAACCTCCATATTATTTTCCACAGTGGCTGGGCTAATTTTCATTCCCACCAAAAGTGTAGGAATGTTCCCCTTCAGCATGAGTTTAAAACCACCAAGTCTGGGACTTGAACCATGGTTGACCGTGTGGGAATCCAGTACCTTAACCACTATATCATCTACTGGCCCCAGAAATCATTACTTTTGTGGGTGCATAAAATTCCAAGTACCATAATTTAAAAAGCAAAAAGCTATATTGATAATTTTGTTGTAAGAGAAAGTACATTCTTATTGTAAAAATTTCAAACCATATGAAAGGGTGTTGTATGTATTCTTCTACATATTTCAGGTCAATTTATAACTTATTTTATCAGCTATTTAATATCCCATAATCTGTCAACTAGTCCCCTCCTATATGTCCTGTTTTGTTGCTGTAATGACCATACAATAAACTTTGCACATATAACGTTATGAACTAGTGATTTTAGTTCTGTAAAACAGAGTCAAATAATGAGTATGTTTTTTATTTAAATGAACAATAGGGCCAGCCAATGACCTGGTGGTTAAGGCAGCTGGATCCCACATGACTGATCATGCAGTTCAAGTCCTGAACCTAGTAGCTTGAAAACACACTGGACACATGTGCATATATGCCCAAAATTCCAAAAGGAGAAGGGGAGGAGAAAGGATTGCGGTGTGACCATTCGCTATGAGGGATGTTTCCTTGCCTTCCTTCTTCTCCTCTCTCTGTCTCTCTCTGGCAGCACATGCACCCTCTGGCAAGTTACTGAGTCATTGGGAAAGTTGTGACACATTTTTGCAAAGAAGAATACATCATGACTTTCCCAATGACCTAATAAAAGCAAAATTATGTGAACAAATGGGCAATCTTCCAAGAAAAGTAAAACTATCTAGATTTCCACCAGGGTTGTAATGACTTTTTTTAAAAAAGGATGATCTTATTTAACTTTATTTATTTATTTTAATTTGATCAGAGAGTGGCAGAAAGAGAGTGAGAAAGCAACCTACCAGGTCAGGGATTTGAACTGCAATCAGCCATGTAGGAGTCCAGAGCCCCTAACCACCACTCCACCTGCCGGCCTCTATGATGACTTTTTCAAACCTTATAACTTTGAGGACACCAAGACATTCCAACAATAAGAGCATAGATAATAAGGATCTGTTTCTGAATTTTCAGTTCTGTATGTTAATTTTTTCATTCTTGGGCCAATATTGTATTGTTCTACCTTAATAGTTTGTTTTTCTATATGCTCGGATACTTATTTTGAACTTCCAAATCCTTTTTTTTGCTATAGGGCACGTGCACTTGCCAGAAAAACAGAGATAGAGAGACAGAAAGCGAGAAATTACTCCCCAGGGGGGATGTCCACGCTGCAATCCTTTCTCCTCCACTCTCCTCTTGGGATCTTGGGCACGCATGCACACGTGCCCAGTGTGAGTTTAAGCCACTGGGTCCAGGACTCGAATCGTGGTCAACTTCATGGGAGTCCAGCGACATAGCCATTACCCTAACTGCTGGTCCCCCAAATCCTTTTAAGTAGTAGCAAAAAGATGAAGTTTTTCACTGAGATTCTGATTGCAACTGCATTGATTCATATAAGAAGGTAACAACATAAGCTTATTAATGATGTTAAGGATTTCTTTTTAAAATTATAAAATGTCATTCTGTTTATTTAGTTCTTGATTTGGATGCTCCATTAAAATATATAGTTCTCATCATTGGTCCTGTACCTTTGTTGTTAAATATAGTTTCTTTGTGTATGTAGTATTTTCTATCACTGTTGAGAATAATTTCTAGATCAGGTAATGTGAGAGAGCCTAGCCTCACGCCTGGTCCAGGATACAATGTGCACTATACTGTCACACACATCTTTTATCCTGCCTCTACTTGAGTTATCTGGATGCCTGGGATCAGTGCCCGATGATGCAGAATGGTATTTTTCAGTGTCTGTCTTAGCCTCGGAGGATAGTGAAAGTAGACACTCCCCAAAGGGAAATACTTGGTCCTCCACAGCAGAGCGGTTTCTAACACCTTTCTCCTGTGTCTACAGAACTCTTCCTCCAAAACCAGAGTCATCAACCCCTGTTACCCTCGGGATTACAGCACCACCTTCACCATGGGCCGTGTTTTTGACAGCCTGTGCACAAAAGAACAGGCCCCCAAAATTTATAACCCCACTGATGTCATCACTTTTGAAGGAACTGGGGACGCCACGCTGTGTAGGGAGAAGGTGGCTTCCATATTTGACTACAAAGCTTGCCATAATCAAAACACCTGTTCCTTTGATGGGGTTTTTCAGCCAAGAGTTAAAGGACCATTTGTGGTAAGTGCAAAACCCACTGCAAGAGTCCTTTCATCTCCCCATCGAATGTTTATTTCCCACTTTTCTGTTTCCTTTCTGCTTACCTGTTATCCACGTTCTCATTTCTCACCCTGAAATCTCCATAGTATACCCCAGTCTGATAACTAATTTCCTCCCGTGCTACTCGCTTTCAGGCTTTTGCTGGATTCTACTACACCGCCAGTGCCTTAAATCTTACGGGTAGCTTTTCCCTGGATGCCTTCAACTCAAGCACCTGGAATTTCTGCTCCTATGACTGGAGTCAGGTCAGTGTTTAAAGAGAAAGGTTCAGTGTCAGGACAACTGTAGCGTAGAGTTTTCTGTGCGTGTGCTTGTGTGTGTACACTCTAACTCTGGCTATTAGACTCTTCTTGTTCCCTCACCTCAATAAAATGGGGGTAAAATGGGGGTAAAAGGGACTCTACCTCACTTCTGTGTTGTGGACTAATGTTCTAAGCACACGCACCATGCTGGTAACGGTGTCTGGCACGTAAGCCCTCAATGAATTTAGAGAGATTATTATTACATAATATTGTATAGATGTTTTTGTTTATATAATTGCATTACTAAATAGTGACTTTTTATTATCAAAATTCCAGGCGATAAATACTTTAAAACGTTAACTGCTAACCTGAGGTGTACTCTGAAGTGTGTGTTTTAAAACATCCCTGCCCTCCCTGCCTCTCAGATGTTTTAAACCTCCCTTTCAGCTCCCACACCTGCTCCCCAAGTTCGATGAAGAGTACGCCCGCTCCTACTGCTTCTCGGCCCACTATATCTACCACTTACTTGTAAATGGCTACAAATTCACAGAGGAGACCTGGCCCCAAATACAGTTTAAAAAAGAAGTAAGTCAAAGTGCAAAATCATTTCCTCCTTCTTCCAAAAGGAGAAGGCTGTGTATATGTATGCGGAAGCAATGCAGAAGGTAAACAGGGTCGGAGGAAGTTCAGCTCGCTGGGTGGAAGCTGATCAGTCTCATGACTGGTGATCTTCCCAGGAGAGCTAACAGAAATTGTAGCGGAGTTGCTCACAGGTTACTTTTCCAAATGAAGAAGGGCCCAGAAGCCAAGTTAGGGCTGGCGGGCTATGAGCTCCACAAGGGCAGGGGCTTATCCTGTTATCTTCATCATCTTGGCATTCGGCACAAGGGCCAGAACCTAGCAGATGCTTAGTCAAGTGTATTGAGGGACCTGCAGTTGGCGTAATGGCTATGTCGCTGGACTCTCATGTAGTTGACCAAGGTTTGAGTCCTGTACCCGGTGGCTTAAACTCACGCCGGGTGTGTGTGCATGCGTGCCCAAGATCCCAAGAGGAGAATGGAGGAGAAGGGATTGTGGCATGGTCATCCCCCCTGGGGTTATTTTCTCACTTTCTGTCTCTCTGTCTCTCTCTGTCTTTTTGATGAGCGCACGCGCCCTATAGCAAAAACCTCTCCAAAAAAAGAAAGAAAGAAAGTAAAGTGTATTGAGTTAACAAATAAATGTGATAAGGATATGAGACTTTTATCCTTTCCTTGAATCATGAATCATTTTATATCCAGCCAAATTAGTATTTAAATAAAAGGAGGATGTGAAAAGACTTCAGAAGGTTTACCATAGAAATGCTTACACTGAAAAAATATTTTTGGAGGAACGAATCAAACAAGAGAATTAAATCCAGATGTTACAAAAATATAAGAAATAATAATCCTTGATGTTGAGGCTTAAATTAGTGGTTTAGGTGCTGGACTCTCATATGGCCAATTGTAGTTCGACTCCCAGACCTGGTGGCTTGCTTTCTCACTTTCTCATTTTCCCAGAGAAGAAGTGCCAGATATAACTTAATTGTAAATATAGGTAGTAACTAGTTCTCCATTTGACACAGATGTCAGGTAAATACAGACCATAAAATAAAATATTCTTTTCGAACAAGCCTTAAGTTACTGTGTTTACTAACAAAGTCTTGGGAGGTAGGGAAGGTCTTCCTAACTCTGGATTTTTTTGTGTGTATGTATATATATAAATATGTGTATGTGTGTGTATAAAAATACACACACACACATATATATTTATGTATATGTATTTATAGACAGACACACATATGTATATGTATATGTATTTACATATATGTGTATCTTCAAGTGGACCAGAATGGCCCATAGCTGGAATCACAGCTGTTACCAGGTGCCAAGGGAAAGGGCCTCCAGACCCTGTTTTTAAGCAGAGCTCAGCCTCACAAAGACGTTCCGCCAGTTCAGGAGGGTTTTCTCATCTCAGAAATAGCTGCCGTGGAGCCCGAAGGATGTCTGGAGTCAGCCTGTTCAGTACCAGCTCCCGCTGTAATTAGATTTAATCTGTCAATATCCTCCTCAATAAAATGGGGGTAAAATGGGGGTAAAAGGGACTCTACCTCACTTCTGTGTTGTGGACTAATGTTCTAAGCACACGCACCATGCTGGTAACGGTGTCTGGCACGTAAGCCCTCAATGAATTTAGAGAGATTATTATTACATAATATTGTATAGATGTTTTTGTTTATATAATTGCATTACTAAATAGTGACTTTTTATTATCAAAATTCCAGGCGATAAATACTTTAAAACGTTAACTGCTAACCTGAGGTGTACTCTGAAGTGTGTGTTTTAAAACATCCCTGCCCTCCCTGCCTCTCAGATGTTTTAAACCTCCCTTTCAGCTCCCACACCTGCTCCCCAAGTTCGATGAAGAGTACGCCCGCTCCTACTGCTTCTCGGCCCACTATATCTACCACTTACTTGTAAATGGCTACAAATTCACAGAGGAGACCTGGCCCCAAATACAGTTTAAAAAAGAAGTAAGTCAAAGTGCAAAATCATTTCCTCCTTCTTCCAAAAGGAGAAGGCTGTGTATATGTATGCGGAAGCAATGCAGAAGGTAAACAGGGTCGGAGGAAGTTCAGCTCGCTGGGTGGAAGCTGATCAGTCTCATGACTGGTGATCTTCCCAGGAGAGCTAACAGAAATTGTAGCGGAGTTGCTCACAGGTTACTTTTCCAAATGAAGAAGGGCCCAGAAGCCAAGTTAGGGCTGGCGGGCTATGAGCTCCACAAGGGCAGGGGCTTATCCTGTTATCTTCATCATCTTGGCATTCGGCACAAGGGCCAGAACCTAGCAGATGCTTAGTCAAGTGTATTGAGGGACCTGCAGTTGGCGTAATGGCTATGTCGCTGGACTCTCATGTAGTTGACCAAGGTTTGAGTCCTGTACCCGGTGGCTTAAACTCACGCCGGGTGTGTGTGCATGCGTGCCCAAGATCCCAAGAGGAGAATGGAGGAGAAGGGATTGTGGCATGGTCATCCCCCCTGGGGTTATTTTCTCACTTTCTGTCTCTCTGTCTCTCTCTGTCTTTTTGATGAGCGCACGCGCCCTATAGCAAAAACCTCTCCAAAAAAAGAAAGAAAGAAAGTAAAGTGTATTGAGTTAACAAATAAATGTGATAAGGATATGAGACTTTTATCCTTTCCTTGAATCATGAATCATTTTATATCCAGCCAAATTAGTATTTAAATAAAAGGAGGATGTGAAAAGACTTCAGAAGGTTTACCATAGAAATGCTTACACTGAAAAAATATTTTTGGAGGAACGAATCAAACAAGAGAATTAAATCCAGATGTTACAAAAATATAAGAAATAATAATCCTTGATGTTGAGGCTTAAATTAGTGGTTTAGGTGCTGGACTCTCATATGGCCAATTGTAGTTCGACTCCCAGACCTGGTGGCTTGCTTTCTCACTTTCTCATTTTCCCAGAGAAGAAGTGCCAGATATAACTTAATTGTAAATATAGGTAGTAACTAGTTCTCCATTTGACACAGATGTCAGGTAAATACAGACCATAAAATAAAATATTCTTTTCGAACAAGCCTTAAGTTACTGTGTTTACTAACAAAGTCTTGGGAGGTAGGGAAGGTCTTCCTAACTCTGGATTTTTTTGTGTGTATGTATATATATAAATATGTGTATGTGTGTGTATAAAAATACACACACACACATATATATTTATGTATATGTATTTATAGACAGACACACATATGTATATGTATATGTATTTACATATATGTGTATCTTCAAGTGGACCAGAATGGCCCATAGCTGGAATCACAGCTGTTACCAGGTGCCAAGGGAAAGGGCCTCCAGACCCTGTTTTTAAGCAGAGCTCAGCCTCACAAAGACGTTCCGCCAGTTCAGGAGGGTTTTCTCATCTCAGAAATAGCTGCCGTGGAGCCCGAAGGATGTCTGGAGTCAGCCTGTTCAGTACCAGCTCCCGCTGTAATTAGATTTAATCTGTCAATATCCTGCATTAGGCCCGTGCAACTCTCCACTTTCACATAAATAAAACTGAGTAATCTATAAAAAGTAAGGATGTCTGGAGATGCAAGGACTCTTGGCATCTTCTCTCCTAAGCTTTGCTTCTAATGAATCTAATTACCAGTAAAATACGTTATAAGAATGGAGGAGGGCTTTTCACTGCATGCTAATTTGGATGGACATAACATTCTAGGCTTGAAATTCCTTTCCTTGAATCATAAATCATTTTATATCCAGCCAAATTAGTATTTAAATAATACGAGGGTGTGAAAAGACTTCAGAAGGTTTACTACAGAAATGCTTACACTGAAAATATTTTTGGAGGAATCAATCAAACAAGAGGATTAAATTCAGATGTTACAAAAATATAAGGAATAATAATAATTGATGTTGAGACTTAAAATAGTGGTTAAGGTGCTGGACTCCCATATGGCCGACGGCAGTTCGAGTCCCGGACCTGGCGAGTTCCTTTCTCACTTTCTCATTTTCCCTCTCTGTCTCCCCCTGTGGTGAGCATATGTTCCCTGCAGCAAATTTAAAATAATAATAATAATGATAAATAATAAAATTAAATAAATAGCTCTTTTTTTAAAATCCTGAGGAAAATGAGGGAGAAAGGATTATGGCATGGCCATTCTCCCTGGGGAGGTGCTTTTTCTCGTTCTCTTTCTATCTCTCCTCCTTTCTCTCTGTATCTCTCTGAGCCATTCTCCCTGAGGGGGTGCTTTTTCTCATTCTCTTTCTATCTCTCCTCTTCTCTGTATCTCTCTGATCCATGCACTTGCCCACAAGCAAATTTTTTTTAATTGTGAAAAAAAATGTGATTACTGGAAATCCCCACATACAGTTTGATAAGACAAACATTTACACAGTCTTGTAATCAGCACCTAATCAAGATAGAAGAGATTTATATAAAGGATTGGAAATGGAACAATCAGCTTTGTTTTAAAATATTTTTAAAATATGATTTAGACCTGAAATAGAATGTGGCAAAAATAATGAAATAATATCAAACATATTGAGTCTCTTTTTTTAAGAATTATTTTTTTTTATTTATTCATTCACATATTTTAATTTGGCCAGAGAGAGACACACACAGAGAGAGAAAGAGAGAGAGAGGAGAGAGAGGGAAAGCAAGAAAGCAAGCCACCAGGTCTGAGACTCGAACTGTAGTTGACCATGTGGGAGTGTCCACCATGCCACCTGCTGGTCCCCAATATCAAACATATTAAAGTTATGTGTAAAAGCAAAAACAAGTTACCTAAAATAATTGTTTTACCAATTTTTAAAAAATTATTTAACTTTTTATTTCTTTTTTTTTTCTTCTTATTCTTTTTTTTCTTGGGGGAGGGGAGAGGTTCTTGCTATAGGGCATGTGCGCTCGCCAGACAGACAGAGAGAGACATAGAGACAGAAAGCGAGAAATCACCCCCCAGGGGGGATGGTCACATCGCAATCCCTTCTCCATTCTCCTCTCGGGATCTTAGGCATGCACGCACACGCGCCCGGCGTGAGTTTTAAGCCACTGGGACCGGGACACGAACCACGGTCAACTACGTGGGAGTCCAGCAACATAGCCATTATGCTAACTGCTGGTTCCCAACTTTTTATTTCTTAGATTTGATCAGAGAGGGACAGAGTGAGGAGAGAGAAAGAGAGAAAGTGAGAAAGCAAGTTGCCAGGTCTGGGACTCAAACCGTAGTCAGCCATGTGGGAGTCCAGCGCCCTTAATCACCACACCACTTGCCGGCCCCAACAAAATGTTTTTTTAAGACAGAGTGTCATTCAAGATAGAGATGGTTATAGCATAATGATAGAGGGTTCAAGTACTGTGGAGATTGCAAATTTGAAACAGGTATATAACCATTATAACAGCTGGAAAAAAAGAAAACAGTGGATGGAGCTACCAGGACACTGAGCATGTACTTCTCTTTGGAGTGATGCTGTTTTTAGAAACCATTGCTGAGTCAATAATGCACTTATTATTCTTTTTTTCTTTTTTTTTCCTTTGGAGAGGTTTTTGCTATAGGGTGCGTGCGCTCACCAGACAGAGAGAGACAGAGAGACAGAAAGCGAGAAATCACCCCCCAGGGGGGATGGTCACGCCGCAATCCCTTCTCCTCCATTCTCCTCTCGGGATC